CAACCAATTAGTATCTGCTGTGCAAAGTGAAGATATTACATTGCTTAACAATTTAACTGCTTATCCTTGTTTCAAATATTTAGAAATTCAAACAGAACCATATATTCGAGAGCATAATATGAAGTTTGAAGGTATTAGATCTTGGGATGCTTTAGTTTGCTCCACATTCAAAGGATCCAGGTATGATTTGCATCTTTTAAAAGAAAACTCTTTCAATATGAAGCTGATATCAGGTGCTTTGATGACACATGGATCTAAAAATTTTGTGTTTAACAAACAGGTTTATCAACATTCCACAAAATTTGTCAATTGGATTCCAAATGAGGAAGTATTCAAATCATTTCATAACAAAAAAAAATTTCTTGACTTTGAGAAATATGTTACTTTGATATTAAATAGTAACAGGATATACATACCTTTGAATTCTCTAATAAAAGATGCCTGGACGTCATTTGTACATGGGGCCTACTTACACCATTATAAAAAATTTGGATTGGAAGAAGATAACTTCATAAATGCATTTCAAGAACTTGAAAATTTGTTAGATGAATATAAAAATATATGACATATTTTGTATTTGAATGTCTTTTGTGTTCAAATAAATTTTTTTACACTTTTTTGTTTTGCTTGTGAACCTAATGGTGGATATGATGTGAAGTCGAACTGTTGGTTTTTACAGTATATTTATTAATCCTTTAATCGCAAATTCAAAATCCCCTGCCTTATCAAAGAGTGCTTAGTTGGCTATCTGAACACCCAATATTCTCCTTAAATATTGACTAGAGCTTATTGTATTTTTGTTTGTTCTGGAAATTAATGTTTTGTTATTCCCAACTTAAAATACATATTTATTACTATTTTTTAGTGACTGTAGAGTGGTCGATTGAGGACAAACGAAAGTTCTTGGTTTTATTAAAAAAATATGGCGCCAGCGACCTTGAAACTCTTCATCTTAATATGCCCAACAAGAGCATAGGAGAAATAAGGTATATGATCGATAAATACAAAAAAATGGCCCAAGAAAGATGGTCTCCTACGAGTGGGACAAATGAAACTGTAAGCTGGATTGAAATCATAAAAAGAGTGAATCTATCGCAGCAACATCCGGTCCAAAATATTTTATCCAGAGTTTTCAAGTATATAGCGCTCTATGAAAAAAAAGCAGAAGAAAGTGACATATGTTTGAGGTAACTGAGCACAACAAAATTTGTTTCAAAATGCCTTTAAATATATACAGGATGTCCTACCAAGACATCCTTAGATCTGGTCTTACAACTACAGCTAAAAAAAGGCATTAGGTACACAAAGTAAAATCATATATTTTGGAAAAATTTACCACAGGAAAATATTAAAAATAAAAAAACGATAAATAAAATCTCAACTCAGAAACTCACATAAAATAAGTTGATACCTATTTTTTATTATTAGTGAAAATTCTGTCATATTGCCAAGGCTATAGGCTGATATTGTACCATCTACTTTGGAATACCGAATTCTCATATTTTGGAAAAGTTTTTTTAGTAGGGCATCCTGTAATGGCTGGTAGCGCTTATTGTTTTTAGAATTGACCATTCATGTTTTTTCAGAGATTGTTATATGTTTTTGTCCGATGTTTGTAATGATAAGTCACCCAAGGAACTATCTGAAAGAGATGGCTATTTATTAAAACAATGCTTAGAGGATATGTCAACAAATCTTCAAGGAGAATATTTGTACCAAACTAAAAAATATTTTGAAAGTATCAATAATTTTGAATCATTAACTTCTAAGAGGGTAAGTTTGAATAAACCATTCACTTTTATTTAGCATTAAATGAACTTCACATTAAAATTAAGGTACCACTAAAATTTGGGTGAAATTGAAATTGATTCTTCAAAAAAGCGAAAAACCTATTTTATATTAAACATTTGTCACATTCTGTACTGTCTGTCTAAGTCATTGCACTATTTTCTTTCTAAACAGCGATCTTCACAAATTTTATTCAGTTTTCCATAACAGTTAATAAGGTCTGGGCATATACCTAAATTGATACCTATCGAATTTATCAACCGTTTTTGTCACAGTTATTACAAAAGTTTGCCACCACAAAAATCGAAGTGCAATAGAAATGGCTATAGAAAACCAAAGCATGTCACTATCTGTCATTACATTACATGCCTTGACTTGGTCAGGTCATGTTGACAGGAATTCCCACTGAATGTAACAGACTGTTCTGTATTGTTTATATAAACATTATTTCTAAAATATCTTTGGGGTGACAACTAAAATTATACCGGGTTTCAGGGTTAAAGGGCAAATCACAAAAATACTTGTAACATTATTAGGTAACAAATTGAACTATCGTCAATAGAAATTATGAAAGTGACCTATACTGCTTTCTTGTGGATTTTAACAAAATCATTAATTCACTATTCTATGCATCTCACAAGTCACAGTTTAAACCTTGCTGATATAATATATTATAATGTCAATGGAAATAACAGCCTCTTGTTAATCTCAAATAAACTTTTATTTATTGTGCCCGCAAATATATATTGTCATAAATATATATATTTTAGGCTTTTTACAAAGTAAGATTGCTTGACAAGTATCTCTTGAAAAAATATGTAATAAAATTAAGTTTAACTTTTTTTCTATCACCTTGCAATAGATCATTTAATTTTGTTTGTGTAATTTTTTATGATGCATTTATCGCATGCAAAGGAGTTACATCAAATTAGAAAATGCTGAAAAACTTGAAGGGATAATTTTTTTTTGTGATAGAGAGAGAGATGAGAATATTATAAATGGACATGCATAAATAAATATGTATTTTAATGTTTAAAATAATTTGTTTGTCTTTACTAAATAAAACCTTTTGTTTTCTGATTATGTTTATTTTTTTTTTAGGAAGGATCATTACTAAATCCCCTGAATATTCCTGAAACTTTGCTACAACCCAACAATCAGGATATCAAGGCTGAATTATGAAAAACCACGGTTTTTGGGAACAGCTGTTTATTTTGAGGAATGTTACAGATCATTTTAAATCCAGGAGAAAAACGATTCTTATCTCCTTGCATAAGGGGGTGAGTCATATTTCTTAATTTGTCAAGGTTAACTGAACGTTTTACTTTGTAATAGTTGAATATAATCCACGTTTTTATGATCACCTAATTGAGCGTCATTCCCTTATACAGTGAGGTCACGAAATTCATTCTAGAAGTAGCTTAGAAGGCAGAAGTAAAATGGCAAACATGTCTTTGCGATTTAATGAAAGCATTCAACTTTTGTTTCGGTTTATACCTCTTAAATATTGACTAGACTTTTAAAAATCACATTTTACCTTTTCTTTTATATAAAAATGAACAAATAGTATATTATCATTTGGTAACTACATTTGTAAAAGCTTAACATTAAAATAAATTATAGCTTGACTTGTATAAATAAAAACAAATAAATGCGAAATTTACATATCAATATTTGTGAGTGATCTATGTACAAAAAATTTTTCTTCCGTTAAACCCTTAGCAGCTGTTTAATAAGAAATTAACTTGTCGCGAGAGAAAAACTGAAGAAAAAACACACCTATAATACAAACGCTAAATGTTAAAGGAAAGGGAATAAATTACTCTACATAAATTATTTCTAGCCACGAAAGAATTATTTGGTGATAAAATCGTTGGTTACAGATTATATTAATATATACCTATGGTTAAACTGGCATTTGTTCCTACGCTTTACAAAATACCGCTGTACAGTACTACTACTGGCTTTAACTTGAAATTTTTAAAGAGGAACAAAGAACTTTTCAACAATGTGTAGTATGTCCATTTTTCTTTGTTATTGTAATGTATGTCAGTTATTTACAAAAAATGCCGTTTTTAAAACAATCCTAGCTGACTTTGTTTTTAAAATACAGCGTGAAATAGAAAATTTTGGCCATTTCAGTTACAGTTTGTATTTTAAACATGTTGAAAACGAAACCCTATAGATCTTTTTGGGTAGAATCCGGAAGCGTATTCAGATTTTTTAGCAATATCTAATTTTTAAGATACAGGCTAAACGTCATGCATATTTTAAAAAATATTTGAATTATTATTTTATTTAAAGGAATACGAATAGACTACACAAAAGTAACCTTAAAAAATTGCTCAAACTGCAATCAGCTGCCAGACATTCAAAAAAATTATAATTTGAGACCTCTTCTCACCTCACATCTTCTTATTCACATTTTTTTATAAATGAGTCACAAGCCAAAAGTAATTTAAATAAAACATAATGTGTATTTAAAAAAAAAATGAATTGAGCCTTTTATGTAAAAATGTAAACAAGTACTTTAAGAAATATAAGCAAGACCTATTGACCTCGTAAATGCCCAAAGAAGAATTTTCAAAATATGTGAAACATGTCTGAATGCTGATAGCTGCTTTTAAAAAATATGTACTAGTTTTTTATTCTCTAGTTTTTTCTGATTATAATAATAAAATTAGGATGTTATAAAAAACTAGTAAATATTAAAAAAACTGTCCATCAGCTTCCAGACATGTTTGACACGTGACGATTGCTAGTGATACTTTCTAGAAAAAACGTATTAAAAACGTTTATAGACAATGGATGTTCGAAACGCCCATGTTTGACACATTTTGCTAATTCTTTATGGGTAAAATATTTTTCATTTAAAAAAAAAGAATGTTTCATAAAAAAACAAAAGTTTTCCTAATATCTTAAAAGTTAAAAACAAAAGTATTTCACTTGATTCTAAGTGAGGTCTATAAGGTTTCGTGTTTATCTGAACTGAATGTTTAACTGAACTGGCCAAATTTTCTGTTTCATCTTGTATCCTAAAAACAAAGCCAGCTAGGAATGCTTCGAAAACGGAATCTTTTGTATCACGAAAATAAACCATGCAATGACAACGAAAAATCAACACGCTGTACAATTTACTCGGAACACGCAACATCTAGCTTTTAACGAAAACGAATATGAATGTATCAACATTAAGTACCATTAACAACAATAATAATTATATCTATTCGATACCGAACGTATTAGTCTCTTCAACTGCCAACAGAAGCTTTTCAAACAGAACTTCAAATGTTGGATAGGGTGGCAAATCTAACCTATTAAAACAAGTATGCGCCCTTGGTAGACTATTTGGCTTTCCCCATTTCTCTATGCAAAATTTTCTAGAACCTATCGAGCCTCTAAGCGCGGCGAAGCCTTCAAATGGAATACTAGAAGTACCCGTAACGAACTGTAATAATCTCAACCTTTGCTCATTAGTGAACCTGAAAGAAAAAATGGTAAACAGAATAGTTTGTTCAACTTTTATTTTTGTTTGAATATACCTTTCGATTGCTTGCCAAAACCAAGCAACAACAGGATGCTGATCATGATACCCGCTCCTGTATTCTGTATTATTTCTCCAGTCCAGCAAATCTATTTCTGCTGTACCGGCTATAACTAATTCTAATTCTCTGGCATCGAAAACGCTTACTAATCTAGGATCAACGACTTCGTAAAATCCCCTAACTAGAGATTCGGTTTGTTCTGAAACTCCTCTCTCTAGGCGCCACCTTACTATCCTTTCTAGGTACTCCTAAAAAAAGCCCGTCACTATTGCCTATCGAACCTTAACGAGTCAAACGTCGTCAACCTTTTTATTTTTCTCTGTGACCGGAACATTTCTTCCTCCCGGTTTCAATTCCTTCTCCAAAACTTGCCCGAATACTTCCTCCGTTACGGCAAAGGTAAGCTCAAGTTCTCCTTGCAGTGACACGTCGTGTTCCTTAATCCACTGTAGGGATTGGTGAAATTCAAAATCTAAGCTTTCCAAATCTGACAAAGCCACGGGGAGTCTCAGCAGAGCTTTGTAAAAAGGGCGTGTGAAAAACGCGTCCAAAAGATATTGATGAACTAGCGCTAATCCTAATACTCTTCCGCTAAATCTAAACCTAGAACAAAATTAAGTAGTAGGGTCTAATTTAACATTGTTTGCATACCGAGTAGTATATCTGAATAATAATAATTAGAGACTATTATAGAAGAAAAGGGCATTTTCATAGTCAAACACAAGCGTTAGTTAAAATCTAATAGTTTTTCAAGAAGAAAGAAAGTTCTTTTTGGTAACTTCGATACTTTTTACCATTCTTATTTTCTGAAACATCTTGTATAACGACATAACGAAATACTGATCATAGAACTACTAAAAGAAAGGGCAAAATGTAACACTAGCAATTATTATAATATGGAAGTCAATTTAATCGCGCGAGGGTTGCTATTTATATTTCTGGTCTAAAAATGAAGAAATAATTATCATAATGAGTTTTACTATTTTTCAAAATACTCTTGAAAATCAATATACAGGGCTGCAGAGCAATTCGATGTTATTGGTCAACAATTCCTTTGTCTGAGCCGCTGAGAGCCCGCATTGTGCTGATGAAAAATGATTATTTATCTTTCGCTTTTTTTGAATTTCCCCAATAACTTCTGATAAACAAATAGTTCTGTACCATTTAGAATTGA